CAGATTGTAAGCAAAAATGAGCCAACGTTAAATGTTAAGGCCGCCATAATATTTAGTCACAAGTGTGATTCATGGTCAGTTTATAAGCAAAAGTAGGCCAACGTTAAATGTCAAGGGCGCCATAATATTTTAGTACCACGAGTCATCGCTGACTCATAGCAAATGTAGGCTAAGTCGACCAATAAAAAACTATGTCAAGAACAACTAGAAGGTCCTAAATGCGTGAATCATAGCTGACTCATAATGAAAGTAGACTAACAATAGGCTTTATTCAGACTTGTAGAATCATAACATTGGAATTTAGGTCACCCCCTACTTCCATGTTTTGGCAACATATAAAAATCTCAAGCGACGATACCTTTTGCGCATTTCCCATTTCGCATTTACGATTCACACTTACGAACACTTACATTTTGCATTCACACTCGTATTCGCATTTGCACTTATATTTTTGCACTTGTACTTCCACTCGCTTTCGCTAAATATATATATATATATATATATATCATTTATAACAGTAAATAAATTCCAATTCAAATACCACAAGTGTGATATTATATTATTCCTTATTCCCAAAATCGAAAACTCTTTCCTGAAAATAAAAGTCATTTCGACATTCCTGTTACCTATTTCTTTCGCAGTATCTAATCCTGAGGTTTTATCCTCTTAACCGCATGGAAAAGAATCTCACAAATAAGTGTGAGTGTAGCTGTCGAGGATCTGTTGATTTCGGCTCCGTCCGATCTACCAGGACCTCCCAGGACGTCACACTATCCACGTAGCGGCGTTCTCTTCCTCGCGGCGTTCGGTTTTAGGTGCGGCTAAACGCCGTATGGTTCTGTCTCTCGCGTCATAGTAATCGTCGCTTAGACAGAGCGCATTGTTACGCACATAGCGACGCAGGGAATCGATTGATTGTCGCGAGCGTGCCCTGTCGCCTCCGCCGAACAACTCCAACGGTCTTCCGAACTTGTTCATCAATATAACGGGAATACCGGTCGTCGCGAGCGCGCGCCGTGTTTTACTCGATCGCATCGATCTCGCGAAGCTCCTCGAATATCGATAGAATCTCGTTATCGTAAGCGTCATTGCCAGCTCGTCGAGAGGCATCGAGCAATCGAAGACGATCGACTAGCTCATTGGGATCGTCCCAGTGAACGTACTCGATTCCTTTGTCTCTCACCCGCATAACGGATGGAAGAGAGTCGATCCCCTTTTTTCTCGCTTTACTAGTACCAGCGCCACTTTTGTCTCTATCGAGCAATAGCGGCGCGATGATATGTTTGTATTTGAAACCTTTGTTTCCTAGAATGGGTATAAGCGTGTTGTGACCACGCCGATGAGCGTTCGTAGTCAACAGTATACTCTTGTACGTTTGCTTGTCGTTTTCCGTGTACACGGTGATGTCGGGAAGTCTCTTGAAGATCAATTCGTATAAGCCCGGGATACCCGGATATCACGTGTCGCCCACGTGTCGCTCACGCTGTCGGCGGCCACGTCGAATCGCCTATAGCAAAGCATCGAGCCATCCAAGTCAAAATACACCCCGTAAACGTGATCGATCTCGTTCTGTCTGTCCCCGCTTAAAAGCGCGCCCATATATTTGTGACCTGACGGTCTCCATTGCGCGTTCGAGATCGATACCTCCGATTCGTTTTTAGTCGCGGGACTCACTGTCGCGATCAATAGCGATCTCGTTGAGAGGCGTCTCTTCGTCGGTCTCGACGGCGGCTCGTCGTCGGTCTCGCGTTTTCTCTTAACACTGACGAACAGTGATAGAACAATTGGGTTGATTCCCTCGGTCGACTCGTCTCGCGCGGTGTTCTCGGCGATTCGTTTTAACGGCTGAACGATTGGCTTGAGTCGCCTCTCCAGCGCGATCTCCTCTTCTATCTCATCGGTCTTTAACTCTCTGTACTTTTTACGTATAGAATTCTGAGTCTTCGCGATCTGTCGCACCGTCTTTTCTCGCCGAGCGACGTCCATACCAGCCGCAGGGTCAACGTCCATACTCGCAGCAGCGTCGATGTCCATCCTCGTCGCACAACTGATCGCTCTACACCACGGCGAAATCGTTAAATCCTCATCTGTATCTACCGTTCCTTAACGCGCTGTCCTTATCGATGACTATGAAACCGTATTTGCGTTTCCAACACGCACGACACAAGGTATAAAAATTCTCGTATGACATATCCACGTATTCACGTGTTGTAAATATGTTTTAGGTTAATGCCATCCTGCTTAAACAGAATCAAGAGATTCACGTTGTCGCGTATCAGGTTTCGGAATTTTAGCGTATGTCTGACAAAGATAGAAACAATCGATGTTCGAGTGTCGATCCATGGCGAAATATTCCCTAATCGCGTTCTGCTTGTCACAGGTCACGTCGTCGAACACGAATATCGAATCGGAAAGCGCCTCGCTCGATGGGACGACGTCGCTATTGTTCGAGAAGCGCGATAGCCGATCTTGTCCATCGACTCGAACAACTCCGCCAGGTATTGATACTTCGGTTGTTGCAGGGATTTCGATTAAACACACGTTCTCGAAGCGCGCGCCGTGCGGACTTTCAAGCATGCTTATCAACACGTTCGTTTTACTGCAGTTGGAGGAGCCGCAAATGATGCAACGTATCATGTTCGGTAGTAGAGGGCTGTGTCTGCGCACTCTCCCGACCGCGTCGCTCGAGATTCGTCGAGCCTTACGGTCGAGATTGGGCACTCTTATAGCCGGCGACTGTCGAACGAATCGCATTTACGCGCGCTCGCTTCGAGTAGACGCGACCGATAATATCGCTTCACTTATACTCGACGGCGATTTGATCGTGCACAGTGATCGATATGTTTCCCCTGACGGACAAACGCGATATTCTCAATCTATCCGTCGAACAGTTGTGACTTATTCCGAAAATCGTTCTCGTGCGCGATTTCGACAGATACGTGGAACTACTATGGAACAGACTACCCGATTATCTAAGAGCGGATCCCGAGGTGCAACGTTGTCGCGTGTGTCTGGAGCATTATAATCGTCCGCAATGATCACATATAGACGGTCCTGCTCCTTATCAAGAATTGTAATGAATGCTTAGCGGTGCAGGATTACTCGATACGGCGATAAACGCGCTTCCCTTCGAACTACATATTCCCGGGTATCAATTTTGCGGGCCCGGCACCACGAAGCGATTGGCGCGCGGCGATCGAGGCGTAAACCCGTTGGACGCGGCGTGCCGCGAGTACGACATCGCCTATTCGCGAAATGAGAAACTCGCCGATCGCCACGACGCCGACCGTGCTCTCGCCGAGAAGACGCGCGAACGTATAACGGCCGGAGATTCCACCTTCGGCGAGAGAGCCGCCGCGACCGCCGTATGGGCTGCTATGAAAGCAAAAACAAAGCATGGGTTTGAGAAAGAAGAAGAGGAATACGACGACAACGAGGGAGAGGATACTTCCGACGGTGAAACGCGGAGGCTTGTTACCCATTTTTCCGATACTAGGCGTGCTCGGTTCTTTGATCGGTGGCGCGGCGGGCGTCGCGAAAGCGATGAACGCCGATAAAACCGCACGGCGTCAATTGGAGGAGTTGCAACGTCACAATCAGGCGATGGAGGGTCACGGATTGCACCTAGCGCCTTACAAACGTGGCAGCGGTGTGATGAGAACGAAAAAAAAACCAAATCGTGGAAGGAAACGTTAGAATCGCTCGAGTTACCGCTCTCAGGCATTACGACGAACGAACAGCTGAATCGCTCGGCGCGTTGTCTGCGAGTGCTCTTTTTCAGAGGATGTTTATACGTGATGCGTTATCATCGAAGGCGCGGCGCAATGAGAGCGGCATCGTGAATCTCGACGACTCGATGGGTTCGGGTACTCACTGGATCGCCTATGCGAAGAGGGGAAACAACGCAATTTACTTCGATGATTTCGGCAATCTTCGACCGCCGAAGGAACTCGAGAAATATCGGCGGTGGCGTAAATATAATGTATAATCGCGGATCGTATCAGACGTACGATCAGAGCATCTGCGATCAGTTGTATCTGCAATTTCTCTCGAGGATCAGTCGCAATGTCGCTGAGCCTTTCGTTCACCGATAAGAGTAGCGTCCTCATGGCGTGCTATTTTCCCGCCTTAGATCTGAGCGACGACGATTACGAGTTAGGTCTCACGAATTTCGAGACGTACAACACTATACCGAATGTCGATTCCGCAAATAATAAGTTCTATAACGATGACAAAACGATCGTGATTCCCGAGGATTCGTACGAATTGAGCGCGATAGATAGATATCTGAATGCCGTTATTTCTAAAAAGCGAAGGATCGACGAAAGCAAGAGAATGAGCCACGATGACGAGAGCGACGACATCGTCTACGAAGGCGAGAGGAGCGCGCAGTCTCTGATCATTCGCGCCAACGAGAACACCATGAAAAGCGAAATCAAATGCGAGCATCAAATCGATTTCACGAAACCGAACAACATCGATTCGCTCCTGAGATTCTCGTCGTCGCGCGTGTTACGACCGAACAAATGGCACACGTCCGACGAGCCCGTGAATATCATTCGGATGGAGTGCACTATCACCACGGGTGCGTACAGCAACAACGAACCGGTTTATACGCTACACGAGTTTTTCCCGAACGTTCCTCCGGGATATAAACTGTTGAACGCTCCGACATCGATCATTTATTTTCCAATCATCGCGTGAAACGTTACCGATATCATGCTTCGAGTCGTGGATCAGAGCGACCGATCGACTTTCGCGGAGAGAAGATAACGGCGCGATTTCATGTGCGATGACAAAGGCATTAGAGAGAGATGCGCGAAAGCGAAAGATACTCGTTCTGAACGAGTGGTACGCAAGAGGAAGAGATGCAAACGCTACATCCGCGATCCTATCGCAAAACGACGCGACGAAGAAAGTGCGCGAGGGAAGAGCGAATGAGTTGAACACCGCGAATGTCGCGTTTTTAAGATCTTTAGGTTTCGTCGTGAAGAATCGACATGGCGAGCGACATTTTAAGTATCGGAGGTGCCCCGATCTTTGACAATCGTATCGTGAGAATAGAAACCCACACTTACAATCCGTACGCTAACACCACGTTCGGATACAGCGACGAGATACGAATACCTATACAACAACAGGATCTGTACACGTTGCCGAAAGTTTTCTGTACATCGAGGGAAAGTTCGCGACGAGAGAGAGCGCGAAGGAAGGCACGGCGAAGGAAGATACTGCGAAGGAAGTTACGAGAGCGAAGCTAGTCAACTGCGTCGTGTTTATGTTCGACGAGATTTGATACGAGCTCAATGGCGTGGAGATCGATAAAAACAGAAACATCGGGATAACGATCTTGATGAAAAACTACGCATCGTTAAGTTATGAGAGAGATAGAGCTTTACAGAACACCGGATGGGAAATACCGCCTGTAGCGTTGGACGATTTCAACTTTTGCGTGCCTCTCAACGTACTCCTCGGTTTCTGCGAGGATTACAAACGCATAGTGATAAACGCGCGACACGAACTCATTCTGATACGCGCTTGCAACGATAACAATTGCGTCGTGGCGCATTCAGATCAGAGACCGAAGATCACGTTGTTGAGAATACAGTGGCGAATGCCACACGTGATACTGAATGACGTTAATAAACTGTCGCTTCTGCGAACGTTGGACAGCAGACGTTATTTGAGCATAGGTTTTCGTTCGTGGGATCTGTACGAATTTTCACTGTTGCAAAGTACGACCAAGCATTCGTGGGTGGTAAAAGCGGCAACGCAATTGGAGAAATCGCGATACGTGATCTTCGCGCTACAGACCGGAAGGAAAAACATACCGTCGGAAGACGTTTCTAAATTCGACGATTGCAAATTGACTAATGTAAAACTCTATTTGAATTCCGAGTTCTATCCCTACGACGATATGAATCTAGATTTCGAGCATAACAAATTCGCAATGCTGTACGATATGTATCTGAAATTTCGAAAGACGTATTACGGGTGCGAGACTTGCGAACCGTTTATGACTGTCACTAGATTTCTGCAATACGGTCCGCTCGTGGTCATCGATTGCTCCCTCCAGAACAAATCGATCAAGAGCGCCACCGTCGACGTTCGCATAGAATTCGAATGCAAAGAAAACGTTCCAGCTAACACAACGGCTTATTGTCTCATCATTCACGATAGAGTTAGAATATAATCCGCTGACGAACGTCGTACATAAACTCAGGACGTAAAAAACAGGAAACTGCGGTTTTCTCTACGCGATATCGATTACGAACGTATAAGGAAGAGCGAAGCGCGAAAACACAGGAATTCACGGTTGTCCCTATGCGATAGCGAACGTATAAAGAAGAACGAAGCGTAAAGATATCGAATTCTCGCGATGATGTCGAACGTATCGATCTTCGTCGATCTGCAAGGTTTTATCGTTCGGGAGAAATTTATGATTAAAGAAGTGGCGATATTAAAAAATAGAAAAGAGCTGACTCATCGAATGTTTCGAGAAGCAATTCCCTGGAATCTTCTTACAAAGACAGAAAAATCTAAAGCGTGCTGGATAATCTCCAATCATCACGGTTTGCAGTGGAGCGACGGCGACGTCGCATACAGATTTTCGAAGCACGTGATTTGAAGCGACGTGTGCGATCAAT